TTTTTTCTAGAAGAATATAAACTTTAAAGTAATAATAACTAAAGAAAGAAATGGACTAACAGGGCTTGCCAGATGGCCTCTGGCCCAAGGATACAAGTGTGTAGCTGTTGGACAGGCAATTTCTGATTTGTGTTTTAAAAGAATTATACTTCCCAAAGGTGAAGTCCCTTGAACATAATTTTTTATAGGCCTGACTATTTCTGGCAAGTCAAGCAATGAACTTGTTTTCTAATTTCTGAACAATTTTTTTTTAAATGTGAGCTCTTCTCATGAGGAAGACATTTGGCTTCTGTTTCCTTTGAAGTTAACCTTGATATTAATATCTGGTTAATATCTGAAAATTATGTATTCTTGATGGAGGGACTGATAAAGAAAATGAAACATGTAGTATTTAAATGTGCCTCTTCAGGAAGCCATGATCTAGAACAAAACTGTGTTCATTTCTGCATCACGGCCCTAAGACATGCCTCCCCCATTTCTCTAGCACAGTGGTTCTCAACCTGCCTAATGCCTCCTAATGCTGCGACCCTTTAATACAGCTCCTCACGTTGTGGTGACCCCCAACCATAAAATTATTTTCATTGCTACTACATAACTGTAATTTTGCTACTGTTATGAATCATAATGTAAATATCTGATATGCAGGATGTATTTTCATTGTTACAAAGGGGTCATGCCCCACAGGTTGAGAACTGTTGCTCTAGTGTAACCCAGAAAATGGGTAACTGAACTAAGGACCCACATTCTTCCAGGCAGCTTTTATCAAATGAGATATAAAATATAGATAAGAAGCAGAAACCACTCATGGAAGGCATACCATGAGGTTGAGTCCTTTTGATAATCTCAGAACCATAATAATGGTTAGAGTGAGAAAAGGAATCCTGCCTTTACCAGAGAAAAGAGTCTGGCAGGAAGTAAGGTTTGGGGGAGGCATTGAGATGAGGTGAGTGTTGCAGGATGGTACGGCCAGGGCTGCCATGGCAGGCAGGCAGGTAGGCAGGTGGGTGCTGTGGAAGGTGGGGCTCAGCCTCGGATATGTCCCCATCCCCAGTACACACACACACCCTTTGGATCCTCAAACGGGACTTGGCTGGAGTGGCCTGGCAAGCATAAGTATCAAGGTTTACAATCTAGAGAACTACAGCCTTGTGCTCGATTTAAAATTGAAATCATAGGGCGGCACCTATGGCTCAGTGGGTAGGGTGCCAGCCCCATATACTGAGGGTGGCAGGTTCAAACCTGGTCCCTGCCAAACTGCAACAACAACAAAAAAATATAGCTGGGCGTCGTAGCGGGCGCCTGTAGTCCCAGCTACTCAGGTGGCTGAGACAAGAGAATCACCTAAGCCCAGGAGTTGGAGGGTGCTGTGAGCTGTGACACCATGGCTACTGAGAGTGACATAGTGAGACTCTGTATCAAAAAAGAAAAAAAAAAACAAAGTTGAAATCATATTTTTAGCAATATCACCATTTCTAATGGTAAAGATGGTACTCTTAGTAATGCTACTAGAAGGTGCTTTTAAAATACTACATTTAAAAAATTCATGTTTTTTTTTTTTTTTTCAGAGGACAAGGGGCAGTTGTGACAATCCTCACACTTGGGGGTGGGAAGGCAGATTTGATAACTAGAAATAAAACCTAGATTGGGTTTTCAAGGTAGCTTTTCTCACTTTTGTAGGCAAAAGTGATTCCCCTCACCTGGGTCATGCCAGTCCGTGGCTTCCCTCTCCAAGCATCGGTTACCTGCCCTTTCCCCAATCTGCTCTTCCTCACCTAGCTTTTCCTTTCCACATTGTGCTAGACCTCTGCCATCCCTTTACCTCCTTCCGCACTTCCCAACTGTTCCTTCCCCTCACTCTCCTGGCCCTGAAACCAGTCCTGGTGCAGCCCTCAGACTCCCCCCAACTGCTCCTCCTCCTGAGCCAGCCCAGTTCTGATAGGGTTTATAGCAGAGGCACAGGTGGTCCCCATGACTCTCAGCCTGACAGGAAAATCTGACAGAGCCGAGGTGGGATCCCATGAGCTACATGACCCTGGGCAAGTTCTTCTTGCCTCAGTATTCCTATCTGTAAAGTGGGAATGATGGAGGCAGGATTATGACTGAGCCCTAAGGAGAACTGAAAGATACTGGGTGGGGTGGCTCCTTCCACAGCCCGGTGCGCAGTAAGTGCTCAGGGAAATTCTTCTGACTCCTATCATTATGATTGCTCTTGAGAATAACGTCATATATGTGACTTGAAGTGTTGCCTTGGCAAAGAATTCTACTGCAAGCCAGATAATCAGTCATAAAATTTTACAGCTAAACCTTACAAGAGGAAAACACAGAGAAAGCCTGGATCCCATATTCTATTCTGAGAGTTGACTTAATGGCATTGAAGCAATATTTGCAAAGCCAGGCAGCCACCATGATAAAGAAATCATTTATGGTAAAAAGTTCGAGAGCTATCATGTAACATCAGTAAAGAAGAGCTTTTGGGAGAAAAGATCATTTAAAAGATGACAATTTTAGCCATCAGTTTCCCAGTGACTTTTGAGGAAAGGTAACCATGTTTTATTACCTGGGAGAGTATTCTAGTTTACATGCTAAGGAAGAAGCAGCAGATTACAAAGGAATAAAGGTATTCTTTACTATCTGAGCCTTCATTATCAGAACTCAGAAATCAAACAGATTTGGATAAAATTTTCACTAAAATCCCTACGCATCTGAGTTCTCACTATGTGCTTTCAAAGACTCAGGAACCAATGTATTTGGAGAAAGCAGAACCACTCACAAACTAAACTCACCTTCCGAACTGTCATTGTCTAAACTCTGGAACTGGGCCAGATGTGGTGGCTTACACCTGGAGTCCTAGCACTCTGGGAGGCCGCGGTGGGAAGGATTGCTTAAGATCATGAGTTTGAGACCAGCCTGAGCAAAAGCCAGACCCCATCTCTACTAAAAATAGGAAAACTGAGGCACAAGGATTGCTTGAGCCTGAGTTGGAAGTTGCTGTGAGCTATGATGCCATGGTACTCTACCTAGGGCAATAGCTTGAGTCTCCGTCTCTAAAAAAAAAAAAAAAAACTCTGAAACTAAATAGATTTGGGTGATGTAGGATACTTGTAACTAATTTTCAAGTAGTTAAAATATGTTTCAATGTAATCTTTTTGAAAAGATACAGGCGATTTTTAGAAGGAATTCCAGAATAAAAATTACAATGTAAGGCTTGCCTCAGACAAGATTCAGGGTTGCAGACAACACAAATTGACTCTGCTCTTTAGATCCTGTTAATTGAAGGGCATGTGAACCAGGCTGCAGGCTGATCTTCTAGGGACAGGTGACCCCTAGAACTGGTCTAAGGAGGACACCCCAGTGAGCCCTGGCTGTCGTCTGCCCCACTGTCACTTTTGCAGTGGATTCTGATGGAACTGCCATTGCCATGATCCCTTGTGCCTCCTCGCCGTGAGAATCACCAGGAAGAGAGAGAGGAGAGGCCTGCCCACTTCCTTCTACCTTCACCAGCTCCTGAGGCCGCATCTCGCACTGGTGCAAGTGCAGACGGAAGGAAGCCTGGGCGGAAGCTCTGACACTTCCTGAAGACATGGGAGTCATAGCACTGGAAATTCTCCAAGCAGAGGAAGGCTGTTGAAAAGACCCGAGCAGCCCCAGAGTCAGTGCCCATACTTGTGGGTTGTAGGTGAACCCCCTGGGGGGGGGGTCCAGGCTCAGCTTTGTTTCTCCTCTTTCTTCTACTTTTTTAATCAAATAGAAGAGAGTATTGGTATTTCACTCACCGTGAGGATGAAGCATGTCCTGTGAAACTTTTTCAGGTGCGTGGACTCTGCGTCTGGACCTGACCTGGGTCAGAGTCAGACACCTGCTATACCCGCAGGGTCCCCACTCAGTGGTGTGCTTCCGGCCCGCCCCTCACCTGCTTGTCTTCAAAGCATTGTTCTCTCGCCTCTCTTTTTTTTTTCTTTTAAAGGCAAGCAAGAGACAAAGTTTGTTGAGGATGAGAGGGATAGGCTTACAAAGCAGGATACATTGGCCATTGACGTGAATGGACCTCCATTGCCAGGGCAAACAGGCAGAGGCCTCTCCCTCCTCTTTATTTTTAGTTAGTCTATCTCACAAACATACCTGTCTCTCACACATACACACAGGCACACACAAAGCTGGGCTGCCCGGAATCTCATTCCTTGGAGCTCCTGGGCAGCTGGGGAATATCACTTGTTAGTGTACAAAATGTATGATCTACACTCAGAGCCTCACCTGTGACCCACTCACTGTTTCCCTGGGACATTATGTTCTGATTTCTAATTACAATGTTTAAACAAAAAAACTATTGTGGAAATGGGTCCCTGTGATGACGGGTGACAGTTGTAACAATGTGGAGAAAACATTCCAACCTAGACTTTGACTTCAAAGTGTTTAAGTAACAAAAATAATAATAGTAACAGCAGGGCGGCATCTGTGGTTCAGTGGGTAGGGCACTGGCTCCATATACTGAGGGTGGTGGATTCGAACCTGGCCCCTGCCAAACTGCAACAAATAGCCAAGCGTTGTGGTGGGCACCTGTAGTCCCAGCTACTTGGAAGACTGAGGCTAGAGAATTGCTTAAGCCCAAGAGTTTGAGGCTGCTATGAGCTGTAACGCCATAGCACTCTACCGAGGTCAATATAGTGAGATTCTGCCTCAAAAAAAAAAAAAAAAGGTCAAAAAAGAAAGTACTATCAAAAAAGGCAAAAAGGTAGTCGGGCATTGTGGCGGATGCTTGTAGTCCCAGCTACTCGGGAGGCTAAGGCAAGAGAATCGCCTAAGCCCAGGAGTTGGAGGTTGCTGTGAGCTGCGATGCTACAGCACTCTACCCAGGGTGATAAAGTGAGACTCTGTCTCTGAAAAAAAAAAATAGTAACAGCAGAGAACTGTTCCGTATTGTTATCTAAGATCAGCAGCACCTTCTGTTTTCAGCCTGCTCTGAACCCAGTTCATTCTAACTTTATCATATTGTCTGTCTGCAGGTCCCTTCACTCGGCCTCATCCAGCCTTATGGCGAATGGTTTTTGGTGAGTTTCCATTATTAGACATAAAAGTTTGTTCTGCTTTTAAACTCTTTTTTTCTGCCTATCATTAATAGCACTTTTGCTTGCCATTTTACAGTTAAAACTTTATAGTTTTTTGCTTTCTGGTGTCCCTGATACAATTTTTAATTAAAATCCTTTGGCACAAAGTATTGGCAATGACTTGAATTCTCTTACCTGTGGACGGTTTCAATCCCACACTCCCCTTTCTTAAGCTGTTGTCTTAGGGTTTGAGGTAAGCAAATATCGCGTGTCTTCCTCCATGTATGTTCATGTTGCTTTTTGCAAGTGTAAGTTCAAGTGCATCCTATGAGCATGTTGGCCTTGTCAGCATCCAGGGGGAAGTGAAAGCCAGCAATTCTTCAGTGTTACAAATGAGAAACACAGAGGAGGGGCCTGACACAGAGCCCTGATTTGGACTAAGGTTTATCGATAGCATATAAATAATGGATATCTTGATTTGTAGTTCAAATAGTTAAATTACCTGAGTGAATTTATAGAAAATCTTCAAAACTTAGGATATTTGCATCATCTCGCCTAAACAAGACATCAAACAAATTATCTTAGGTTTGGAAAATGTTACCTTATACAAAAACATACATAGATTCTGAAAAATGGGGATTTTGCTAAAAGCTGCCTTTTTTTCCTTCATCCTTCAGAGTTCTTAGGTAACTCTTTATGTTTTAGGGTTTCTTGGTGAACTTTCACACAGCCCCAGTTCACTGAGTGAGCTGAGGGACAGGTGTCCCCACCAGAAGGGACCAGATAGGAACTGCCCTTCCACTCAGGAGGGAGGACAAATGTAGACAGACTGTTACACAAATCAATCATCTGAACATCTGGGCTGTCACAAAGTGTTAGGAAGCTAGCGAAAGCCAGGCAGGGTGGTAGTGCCTGGGTGTCTGGGGAGACTTGAGGGAGTGGGGCTTGTTCTGAAACGGCTAACAAAGGTTGGGGTGGAAGGATAGCCAGGCAAAAGGAAACGCTACTAAAATGGCCCCACAGTGAGAAAACGCTCTGTGTGTTCCAGGCCAGTGTGACCCGAGTGTAGTGGGCCTGGGTGAGTAGTAGCAGCCATGACACAGAGTTGGACCCAGACAGAAACACAGGGGCTGTGGGCCAGGGTAAGGAGGGGCCTAAAGACCAGCGGGATGGTTTTTCCCAAAGGAGTGACATGATTACATTTATAGTTTTTTTTTTCTTATAGTATAGCTGTGTGCATTAATGCAGTCATGGGGTGCATTGTGCTGTTTTCATATACATTTTGAAATACTCTCATCAAACTAGTTAACATAACCTTCACGTCATTTTCTTAGTTATTGAGTTAAAACATTTATAGTTTTAAAAAAATAGTCCTTGCTGGATCCCATGGAAGTTATAAGTTGGAGTTTTTCCTGTTTCAAATGATCTATTGTAGGTAATGACCCGTTTTATTTCTTGCCTTTTTTTTGGAACATGGGGGCCTTTTGATAATCTGATGAGACCTGTAGACCATCCCCGATATGTACACTCATGTACACTGTCATCGCACAATTCTGCACACAGCATCCCGCTTCACAGACCTCAGAGCCCAACTGAGGACTCCAGTTTAAGAATCCCTGTGCTGGGCAGTGCCTGTGGCTCAGTGGGTAAGGTGCCGGCCCTATATACCTAGGGTGGCAGGTTCAAACTCAGCCCTGGCCAAACTGTAACAAAAAAATAGCCGTGCGTTGTGGTGGGCACCTGTAGTCCCAGCTACCTGGGAGGCTGAGGCAAGAGAATCACTTAAGCCCAGGAGTTGGAGGTTGCTATGAGCTGTGATACCACTCTACTCAGGGTGATAAAGTGAGACTATGTTTCTAAAAAAAGAAAAAGAATCCCTATTCTACTGACTCTTTTTGTCTTACAGTAATTATTTTGTTTTATTTTATTTTTATTTTTTGAGACAGAGTCTCACTTTGTCACCTCAGTAGAGTGCTGTGGCATCATAGCTCATAGCAATCTCAAACTCTTGGGCTCGAGTGATTCTCTTGCCTCAGCCTACCGAATAGTTGGGACTACGAGGTGCCTGCCACAATACTCAGCTATTTTTAGAGACAGGGCCTTGCTCTTGCTCAGCCTGGTCTTAAACTCCTGAACTCAGGCAATCTGCCTGCCTCAGCCTCCCAAAATGCTAGGATTACAGGTGTGAGCCACTGCATCTGACTTAAAGTAATTATTTTTAAAAGATCATGCTTCTTAAAAAAGGTATTAGGGGCATTCAAGGTGAAAATTTGTAAAAACAGCTGGTGCAAAAGTATAAAGCTAAGGTGGTTCTTAAAGCAACATGCCTTAAAATGTATATTCTCTGGGCCCTGGGATGCATGGCTGAAGGTGGGCCACATCCCACCCAGGTCTCTCCTGAGCTCTGTGAGGCTTGGAGAGGGATGCTGGTTGGAAGCCCTGGCACTGTGGTACTTGTGGTGGGTTTTGTGCCAGCCACAGGCGTGCTCTCCTCTGGAGCAGCTCACTGGAAACTACTGCTGAGCCAAGCTTGGATGGGCCCCGTGAACCAAGGTCATTTGTATCACGGCATCTAAATGTCCTGCATAAACATTTTAACTCTAACCAGTTCAACAGAAAGAGAAATGACAAGCCTGTAGTGATTGGTTTTCAGATCTTTCTAAAATATATTACACAGGCTTTTGCCTTCTTAAAGTGTATTAACTTTTCTTTTTAAATTAAAACAGGGTAATTATTAGGATAGCAATTGTGATACAATACAACAATGGAATAATGTCTGCAAAAAAAAAAATGGATAATGTCTGCAAAGGCTAATCTGGAATGTCATTCTTGGATAAGTGTTCCCAGGCCACCTCTTGAACCTTACACCTGGCGTTCTAAGGTGGTCACAGATGGGATGGTCCACACCGAGCCTTGCCCTCCTCTGGTCTACTCACACGGCCTCATGATATCACCTCAGTCATCTTATTTCCCCATTTAACATGAGATTGTGTCTGAAATTTGGCCATGGCCTCTAAGCCCTGACTGTCATTTAAGGGCTACCTTCCTCTACTCCCCTCTGTGCCAGTGCCCCCACAGTGGGGTTCTAGACATTTCTCTCCAGGGACCACCTGCATGCCTTCTCTCCACTGAGTGCCACTTGTACTCCTCACGCTGCCCACACCCTCTTTAGCTGCTGGTCCTCCATGTCTCAGCCCAAGCATCGTTTTCTCCAAGAGAGTTTCACTGACCTCCTTCAGTCTGAATTAGGACTGTGTATTACATTTCCTCATCACAGGAAATAGTAGATTATAATATAATAGCAGGGGTCTCAACAGGCTGTGCTACAATATCAGCGTCTGGTCTGCGCAGCGCCATTCTAGCTAACGTGCGCCCCGTGCCTGGCAGTTGGCGTTTCTTCTAAACTTGACCGTGTTTTTCTCTCCTCTCAGGACTCAGTGTGCTCTACTTCCTGTTCCTGGTATTCCTGCTCTTCCTCAACTTTGAGCAGGTGAAATCCCTAATGTATTGGCTAGATCCAAATCTCCGATATGCCACAAGGGAAGCAGATATCATGGTACGTACTTGTGTCAGTGGGCTCTTAGAGAAATCGCTTGGGCTAGGAGGTAGCAGACTTCACACTTTAAATTGTTCCTTCTCCATATTTTCTATGTAGATACCTGAAAACCAGGTCTCTGGGCAGGTTGCTGAGTTGTCTGGTTTTCCACAGACGATTCAGGGAAATGAAATCCTGTCGTGAAGCAAGGAGGCCTGCATTATCCTCAGACGTCCTTGGGCGGGAGTCCTGCCTCTGTCACTAGTCAGTTGTAGGACTTTGGGCAAAGTTCTTGCAAGCTCGTTTTCTTTTTTGTAAAGTGAAAGTAATCATACTTATTTCGGGGATTATTCTGAACTAAACAAAGTGGTGTTGTCTACAAAGCCTGCCTGGAGCTCTGCCGCGGTGCTCTGAGCGCACCAGGCTTCAGCCCTGCGCTGTTAGCCTCACCCTCAGCACCTCTGCTTTGCGCCCTCTGACCTTGAGACCATGACCTTTCCCAGCTGCATGCCAGGAAGATGCCAATTGTAAGGATTTAGGCCATTTTGTTTATTATTTTCATTAAAATGAACTAAAAAAAATTATTCTTGGTTGAAACTACCCTGTATTTTGTTTTACTAAAGCAACTACTCGTATGGGAAAAACCAACTTTTTCTGGACACTCACAGTGAATACCTCTGTGACCAGATATGTGGGTTTTCCCACACTAGCCAGTTCTCCAACTTGGCTGACACCAGTTGAGTGTCCCCTAGTTTAATTCAAGTCTGACACTGTTTACTTGGCGTTAGCATTCCATTCCACAAGTTAAAGGCTCAGTCCCACAAGACTGCCCACATTTCAGATGTAATCCCAGTTTGCCACCTGAGCTTCTGAATCACTGACCTCAAATCAGGAATCCCAAAACACCCTCCTTGTACCCGATTATTTACTATGATGGCTCTCAGAACCGAGGGAAACACCTTTACCTGCTTACTTTGAAGGATATGATAAAGAATCTAGGTCAGTCGTTCTCCACCTTCCTAATGCCACAAACCTTTAATACAGTTCCTGTGGGTCACGACCCACAGGTTGAGAACCGCCGATCTAGGTGAACAGTCAGATAAAGAAGCACTAAGAGGCTGGGTGTGGTGACTCATGCCTGTAATCCTAGCACTCCGGGAGGCCGAGGTGGGTGGGTTATCTAAGCTTAGGAGTTTGAGACCAGCCTGAGCAAGAGCAAGCCCTGTCTCTACTAAAAATAGAAAAACTAGCCAGGCCTTGTGGCAGGTATCTGTGGTCCCAATGACTTGGGAGGCTGAGGTAAGAGAATTGTTTGAGCCCATGAGTTTAAGGTTGCTGTGAGCTATGACACCAGGGCACTCTACCAAGGGTGACAAAGTGAGCCTGGTCTCAAAGATGTCCACAAGGATCCTGACGGTAGGGGCTTCTGTCCCTATGGAATTGGGGTATGCCACCCTCCTGTCACAGTGGATGTGTTCACCCACTCAGAAGTTCTCGAAATCCCACAGTTTTGTTACTGACAGAGGCTCCATCCTACAGGTGTGATTTTTTTATCAACTTAATCTCCAGACTTATCCCTTTCCTGGAGTATGTGGGGTGGGGCTGAAAGTTCCAAGATTGTAATCCTGGCTTGATCTTTCTGGTGACCAACCCCACCCAGGAACTTATTAAGAATAAGACCTCAGCTGGGCATCATGGATCACACCTGTAATCCTAGCACTTTGGGAGGCCAAGGTGGGTGGATTGCCTGAGCTCAGGAGTTTGAGACCAGCCAGAGTAAGATTAAGAACACCATCTCTACTAAAAATAGAAAGAAAAAAAAATTAGCTGTGTGTTGTGCCTGTAGTCTGAACTACTTGAGAGGCTGAAATAAGAGGATCACTTGAGCCCAGGAGTTTGAGGTTGCTGTGAGCTATAAGGCTGTGACGCTCTACCTAGGCAACTAAGTGAGACTCAGTCTTAAAAAAAAAAATCCATCTCATTAGAGCAAAAGATGTTCTTATCATTCAGGAAATCCAAAGATACTAAGAGCTCTGTGTTAGGAGCTGGGGTCAAAGACCAAATGTTAGAACAATAGATGCACCAGCCACCCCTACTGCTCAGGAAATTACAAGGGCTTTAGGAGCTCTGTTCCAGGAATTGGGGACAAAGACCAACATATGTATTTAGTATGAACCATAATATCACAGGATTTTTTTTCTTTTTCTTAATTTCAATTTAATATGAGAGTACAAATTTTTAGATTACATTGTTCTCACTTCCAAGGTAAAGTTCAAGTTGTAGTTGAGCCCTTTCCCCAGGAGGCCTGCTGAACACCCTCACATTGTGCACATTAGGTGAGATCCCTCTCCACTCCCCCTTGCAGGACTATATTTGTGTTTTATCATTCATGTGGCCATGTAGTTGTTTATATAGTGGTTTCATATTAGTGTTGAGTACATTGGATATATTTTTTTCTATTCTTGAGGTACTTTACTAAGAAGAATGTGGTTCAGCTCCATCCAGGTAAACATAAAAGATGTAAAGTCTCCGTCTTTTCTTATGGCTGAATAGTATTCCATGGTATACCTGTGCCTCAGTTAGTTAATCCATTCATGGGTTGATGGGCATTTGGGTTGCTCCCATGACTTGGCAATTATGAACCAAGCTGCAGTAAACATTCTGGGGCAAAAGTCTTTGTGGCAAAATGATTTTCGTTCTTCTGGGTAGAATCATACTACTATAACTCTAGTAATGGAATTATAGGGTCAAATGGAAGGTCAGCATTTAGTTCTTTGAGAATTCTTCATACTTATTTCCATAAAGGTTGTATTAGTTTGCAATCCCATCAGCAGTGTAAATGCACATCATAACCACTTTGAGATATCACCTAACTCCAGTAAGATTAGCCCATATCGGCTTGGCGCCTGTGGCTCAAGCGGCTAAGGTGCCAGCCACATACACCTAAGGTGGCGGGTTCGAATCCCCAGCCCGGGCCCGCCAAACAACAATGACGGCTGCAACTAAAAAAAAAAAAAATGGCCAGGCGTTGTGGCGGGCGCCTGGGGTCCCAGCTACTTGGGAGGCTGAGGCAGGAGACTCGCTTGAGCCCAGGAGTTGGAGGTTGCTATGAGCTGTGATGCCATGGCACTCTACCCAGGGGGATAGCTTGAGGCTCCGTCTCAAAAAAAAAAAAGATTAGCCCATATCATGGAGTCTCAAATCTGCTGATACTGGCATGGAAGTGGAGAGAACACTAATATTACAGTATTTTATACTGTAATGTGTTCCTTCCTATTTTTTTTTCTTTTATGCCTAACATTTGGTACATATTGAAGAAAAACCTGGTGGTGCCCAAGAAAAGGAGAATAGGCATTTGGGCCATGGATGGGCTTACGTTGAGAAACAAAAAATAAGACAGACAAAAGGACTTAAGGAAAGGTCCATTTATTTCACCATGGTTGATATTTGTCAGACCCTTCTTGAAATGGTGTTTCTAGATTTATGTATTTATGTATTTATTTAATAGTAACAGTCTTGCTATGTTTCCCAGGCTGGCCTTGAACTCCTGAGCTCAAATGATCCTTCAGCCTTGACTTCCTTCCTCCAGTGCTGGGAATATAGGCATGAACTGCCGCACCTGGCCTAGATTTTTATCTTTAATTTTTTTAAGGGACATACCTAAAGCAAAAATAAGAATGCCAAAAGTGGCTCAGTGCCCATAGCACAGTGGTTACGGTGCCAACCACATACACCGAGGGTGGCAGGTTCCAACCCAGACTGGATCAGCTAAATAGGTCTCAGAGAGAAAAGTCTTGGGAGTTCTTACAGTAACTTACACTAAGGAAGACAATGGTAGAGGATGACTTACTAGATGATAATAATGAGAATGGTGGTTAGTGAGGATATTGGCAATGTATATGAGCCTCGTGTGTGTGCTAGGCATACATATCACCATTGCACAGTGGAGGAGATAGAAGCTCAAATGCCAGTATTTCACTGAAAGCACAAATTGATAGCTCTCTCTGTCTTCAAACCTATACTTTTCCTTTCTTCTGTGCTTTAAGTACATGGTTATAGTAGTAAGTGCCTTGATACACATAGGAGTCTTAATGGAATAGGAATTGGGGGAAACATACCCCAGATATGATATTTTTCCAGGCATCCTTCTGGGGTTTTTGAGCACCCCACCTCCCCAGGGACAGAAGCCCCTGCCCTCTGGTAGCAAAGTAAATTGGCTTGCAGGTGGCTGTGCTGGTGTGTCTCTGTCCATCCAGTTCTCAAGGCTGATGGGAGGAGGACTAGTCAACTGATGCTCTTGACATCTGGCTTCCTTTGGAATTGGACATCTCACGGACCTCTGTATATCTAAATTAGTCGAAATTGGCTTTTAAAATATGGTTTTCAAGTATTGGCTAGTTCTTTCCTGTCAAGCCAAGCCAAGCATGTGGTTGTATTCAGTTTCTAGAATTCTGGCTGGTCCTAGAATAGCCTCATCTTCGCCATCCCTCATCCCATCACTTTTTACTTCCTGAAAGTATTAATAGTCTTTCGCAATTCTAAGGACTTGTTCATTGGTGGTTCTGTTATGTAGGACAGAAGGTCTGTAATTCCTTAGTTCCCAGGGTCCCTACTCACCTGTTCCTTCCCGCTGCCACCCATTCCTAATCTGGATAGACCACAGTTATCATGCCTGGTAAAGTACATTGGAACTCAAAGGAACTCAAACTCATTTTTTCCCTGAAATTAATACTACAAACTGAACCTTGAGATCATTCAAATTCTATTAAAGGCAGTTTTTTGTGTAATTGTCTAGAATGTTTGCTGCTTTAAAAAATATTGATTGTATTCAGAAATATGTGTTCTAAGCTTCAGACAAGCCTTGAGAGCACAACTCATTTGTAAATTGGGTTGCCTCAAGCAGCAGTGTTTCCTTTATTAAATTGTAAATGCTGGCTGGGTACAGTGACTCACACCTGGAATCCTAGAACTCTGGGAGGCCGAGGCAGGTGGATCACTTGAGCCCAGGAGTTTGAGACCAG